AAAAAGTAAAAAATTTAGGGCTTGAGCAGATTGAAAAGAATGCAAAACAAAACAGCCCCAAAAACAGCCACAAGTCCCAATCAGTTTAAAAGAAAACCTAAGTAGGCAGGACAACTTCATTATAATGTTGTTTACAGAAAACCTAAGTAGACATATATATATAGTATTAGTATATTATATATTTAAAACTTAAAAGAAAACCTAAGTAAACAGGTTAGCTTCATCTAGATTATGAATTAATCAAACAAAAATTAGAAACATAAAATAAGTAGTAAAGTAAAGTAAATAAGTAATCAAATAACCCTAAGTTAAGCCCTAACCTCACAACAGTGATGGGCGGAGAGCGAGAGGCAGAGAGTGACGAGAGACGGAAAGAGGCAGGCAGCCGGCGCCCGGCAGCCGCAGACCGACGGCAGTCGGAGTCAATAGTCGTGAGAGGCAGTCAGGCAGAGAGCGAGAGCGAGAGCCATTTGCGACATTGATTTTCGATTGAGATTGAGCGACGAAGCGTGAGAGCTAGAGCCTTTTTGCGATATTGATTTCGATTGAGATTGAACGACAACGTTAGAGGGAGGCGGGAGGCGAGAGGAGTCGAGAGGGAGGCGAGAGTCGAGAGGAAGAAACAGGGCGGTAACATTAGATTTTCTTAGGCCTAAAAAAACTCAACCTATATATACATTGGGCTTTACAGATTTGATGCCCTTGGGCTTCATGCTGCCCTGGGCCGTCGCCCCCTGGGCCTATAGCCAGGGCCGGCCCTGTAGAATTCCTCTACCTACCTCAAACTCTTTAGTACCACCCTTAATGACACAAAACTTTGATGTTCTGGTTGTCTTTCTTATCCATGGTTAAATCCATACAACACCTAAAAAATGCATCCCAAATCCGCCTGTTGTATATTCGTTGGTTACCCTCCCACTTAAAATGTTTATTATTGTCTCGATCCAAGAACCATCAAAGTAATACTTCACGACATGTCAAATTGATCGAGTCACAGTTTCCTTCTTCTACTCTATATATGCAACACTAATGCCGCCCTAACACCAGCTTCCATCACCCATTCACCCACTTTAGCTGATAGTCTTCCCTCACCCTCAAATAATTTCACTGGAATGTCTTTTCCTTCCCCTACTGTGCAACCCACTCCACCCCCATCAAACCACACCATCTTTCTCCTCCGCGTCCTCACCTACATCCTCCTCGATAAAGATAACATCGGTTAAGCTATAAATGCTCATTAGTTATAAGCCCTATAAAGAGTAACGAGTTTACAATGAAAAGGAAACATTCATATAAATTGTAATACTTGGAAACTAGTCTTTCAATCACTTTCTTTTTGACGAAGGCACATATACCTTCAGCAAAAATCTCAATTTTAGAAAAGTTGTTGGAGATGTTCTTGAGTCTTACGGTTTTTGCCTAATAGGTTAGAGCTGGTACCTCCAACATATTCTTTTAAATAGAGAAAATGAGGGTTTTGTTATCTATTTTGCTTCAACAGATTCGTTATATTATTCTCTAAAACAGAGAAAACTCCAAGTTTAGGGAATTCTCTAAAACCTGATGTGTGGAGAGAGAAAAATTAATTTTTTATTCATATTCACCGGTGAGATTTGAATTATTACTATTTTATATAAATTATTTTTGGAAAAGTGTATCGTGATGATAAATTATAGAAAATTTTAATAATATAATGTACGTGGAAATATCTGATATAGAAAATATGTTGGAGTTAATTGTAATTCTTTTTAAAGATTTTGACTTTTGATTTTAAAGAGATTATACAGATCTGCTGGATGATGCTCTAAGAGAATAAGCAAACATGTTGCTTAGTGGTGAGAGAGAAGGATCGATTTTTAATGTATATTATATTTTATTTATCAACTATAACAATATGATCTTTGTCGCTAGGACGATGTATGTCCGTCGTTTACTGCCTGTTCGGGAATTTGAAGCTTTGACTCTTCTTGATGCCATGCCGTGGGCCACCGAATTGGATTTGCAAAGGGTGCTCTTTGAAACCGATAATGAAGTTGTTATTGATGCAGTTATCTCCTTGGAAGATGATGACTCAGAATTGGGGATATCATAGATTGTATTCGTTTGTTTTATATGATAATACATCATTTATTGCAACGCAATTTCCAATATATAACATCCCCCTGTAAATTATCGATTCAATTTTAACTTTCCCTCTTTAAAAGATTTTTTTTCCTTTACTGTCATTTTATTTCCTCTCTTTTTCTTTTGAAAAAGAGAATTCGAAACGAGTGTAATGTAGTCAGATATATTTTCATTTTACTTTTTTGTCTCTGTTGATATAATACAGTTTATGTGGTTTTGAGAAATACAATGTTTTTACTTTTAAATAAAAATAAATATGAAGATATCATATAATTTTGAAAAACTTATTGATATAATGTCAAATTAACTATTTAAAAGCTCTTTTTTTGTATAATTTCTGTAATTCAATTTTTTATTTTAATTTAATATAGGTCTAATAGGGAAGTAATTTATTTTTGATTTAACAATATAATTTTTATAAAGATAATGATTCATTAGAACTTAATGATTATCCTAATTATATTTTATATTTTTTATATTTAAAATGAAATGTTTATCTTATATCTGATTATGTTTATCTGTAGTTAGTTATACGAATTTAAAAATAGATATTTAATAAGTTGTATTTACGCACAATTTACTTGTAATCTTAAATTTTAAGTAAATATGCATTAATAAACAGTACTTCATACATAAATAATGGTTTTTAAAAGTTTTTATCAAATATTTTATAATATACTATATTGAGGATGATTTTGAAAAAAATTGGTTGCATAAAATGTTTTTATAAACGAATTCAACATCAAATTTTAGGAAATATTTTTGTTAAAAAGAAAGTCTGATAAAATTAGTATGAAACATAACAAAAATCGGTCCCTCCTCCGCTCCCCACGAACGGCTTTCTTCGTGACGCCCAATTTTCCTCCACGCCGGGGGAATTACCACCGCCGATCTCCATCATGGATTTCCGCCACCATGTCCCCGGCGGATCTCCTTCCTCCTCATCCACCACCTCTTCCTCCTCCCAAAACCCCAATCACCGGAACCACAACGGCAGCACCGCCATAACCACCACCACCACCACCACCACCAACAACAACAACAACAACGATCCAATGCACTCTTGGTGGGAATCCATCTCCAAAGCCCGATCTCGCATCCACCTCTTATCCACACTTTTACCCGGACCCGAGCCTGACTCTGAAGACCCAAACCCGATCTCATCTCTTGCCGACTCCGATGCTCCCGCACGCTCCCTCCTCTCTTCTCTCACCGCATACACCGCCGTCTCCTCCTCTCTCACCTCCTCTTCTTTCTCTGGCTCCGGCGAGGATTCCCTTTGTAACTGGCTCTACGATACCTTCCTCTCATCTGATCCAGACCTCCGCCTTGTCGTCCTTGCCTTTATCCCTCTCGTCGCCGGCCTCTACCTTTCTCGCATTCACTCTCTTTCCTCCCAAACGCCATCGCTTGCCGGATTCGAAGCGGTACTCCTCGCTTTATACTCGTCGGAAACCAAATCTCGCGCCGGGAAACCCGTTCTCATTTCCATCCCCGATCTCTCTCAGCCGTCACTTTATCACTCTCCTAGGGTTAGCAACAGCAAGAAGAAACCTAGCTCAGCTAAAGTTAACCCTAATTCTGGATCGCAGCCTTCACGGCCTGCGGTTGGGATACTATCTCCTCCTCTGGAGCCCCAAACCGCTATAAAGTCAACGAAACGTGCTATCATTGTAGGAGTTGCCCTAGATTGTTACTACAAGCAGATCTCTCAAATGCCTAGCTGGTCGAAGCTCGATTTCTGCAAGTTCGCCTCTGATTGGGCTGGACAGGATTGTGCTTGCAAGTCCGAATTCGACCAAAACACTGAAGTTACAAACTTCTCTGATGGTATCGTTGAAGATGGAATCGAAATTGAGGGGAACGTTGTGGAAGAGATGAAAAATTTGGAGATTCAGGATGAAAATTCAGACAAGGTTGTTGCTAGAGGGACTAGAATTCTGCTTCCATGGGAATTACTACAACCAATGTTAAGGATCTTGGGGCACTGTTTATTGGGTCCCTTGAATTCAAATGACGTGAAGGATGCAGCATCTCTGGCTGTGCGGTGTTTGTATGCTAGAGCTTCACATGATTTAGTTCCTCAGGCGATTTTGGCTACTCGGAGTTTGATTCAGCTGGATAAGAGAACTCGTGAGGCTGCTGCAATGGCTGCAGCATCAGCTGCTAATCCCGTGGGTTCTAATGCTAATACACCCAGTAAAGCCAAGAAACCTGAAATCCTTTTAGTATCAAAGTGATGGCAGAGTATGTATTTCATCTCAATTTCAAAAATTTCCTTTTTTTGATCCTGATAATATAGTGTTTGGTGTTGCTGTAGGGGTAGAGCTATACGCTGTGTAATTGGTAACCATATCTATAATTTCTGAACATAAACGTGTAGATGCAAGAAATCATTTTGTGTATTTTATTTTTATTTGTTATGAGATTGCATTCAGTTTTCTTAAATTCTTGAATGGTATTTTCTCTATTTGAAAGCATCTCGTATTGATTTTGGGTACTTGTATGCTTCTTTAAAGTGCAGGCTGTTCTAGAAGTAAGTACTTGTGTAGCTCGAACTCGATCAAAATAGAACTCGTGTTACATCTGTACATATCTATGCTGCATTTCAGGTTTTGGCTCGGCTTCTTTTCTTCAAATGCAACATTTCAGGATGCTTGTGTTCCTAACCCATGATATCTCACATAAAGATTCAACCTGAATCTATGTAAATATTGAATTTTGTGGATGGTAATTGCCTACTCATATATTGACCTTGTATGATCATTGTTTGTGCAATTGACTTACCTATTGAATTGGGAAATCCAATTTATGAATTGCATACATAAGTTATATACAATATTTTGTATATGTGAGATTGTGAGGCTAGTCTGGTACCTTTTTGAGTGGCCTTGCGCAAGAAGGCTTTGGGAATGTTTAGAATCATTAACTGGGATAACGATGGAATATGGAACGTGGGGAAGGAAAAGGTTCATTGGGGAACTGAAATTATGAGGGAAAGTAATGGCCCATCATTGTTGGCATTTTCAAATACTCTATTGGCTCTTTTACCGGTCTTCATGTATCAGGTTTATCTAGTTTGATCTTAAATTTTATCTGGTTGTGGAAGTGATTAGTTGTGGTATTGGGTTCTTCGTTACTGGGTATTTTGTTCAATTTGGAGGTCCTTAACGTTATGTAGGTTTTTATGTTTCATATTGCTGGGTATGTACCAAAATTTCAGTTTAAAGAACTTTTGGCCATTTCAAAGAAAATAAAGATGGAATTAATTGAAGTTATATTCTGGTTAAGTTTTTTTCTTTTATCCTGTAAGTATTGGCTGGGAACAGAATTACTTAAAACAATCACATAGATGATGGTACTTTAATGTAGTATGGATATTTAACTTATGTGACTAAACCAAAGCAAATAGACCCCCGTCTGGGGTGGATGTGCGCAGACCTTGGCCCTAGGCTACAGGGTAGAGAGGCTAATTCTACTTCAGCTTGAATTGAACTTATTTGGAGCTTCGGTATATTTTCTTTACAAGCTGTTGATATTAACAAACTGGACAGCAATGCAATGCTTATGCTGTTTCTAGCTTTTAATGGTAAATCTCATACTGTTTACACAGAGCAATGCGTGCACGTTAGCCTCTTTGGTACAGCTTTATTGTTGTTTCTTAGTCGCGTGCACTTTCACAATGCCCTGAACATTATATTCCTTCCTTGATTCGAACATAATACGTGAAGAAAATGGCAACTTTTTACATGATAGAATTTTTATTGTTGTTTACTGCAATTATTAATTCTGCTTGATCACTAAAAGAGTGTTATCTTTTGCAGTTAAAAGCAACTTATTTGACACTCAAATTATAAATGGACTGTAATTGCAGGATGGATGTTATCCTTAAGCCCTTGTTTTGATGGTTGGTAGTGTTTACTTTGTTAGGGCTTTAGATATGACAATGCTTGGCTTAATGATGAATTTGAAATATTGTTGAGTAAGATATAGGGATAAATATTCAAATTCTGTAATGTTTCCTGTCCAAAAGCAACATGAATCTGAGATTCCCTTTTCTTAAAGCCAGAAGTAGGTGGCTAAAGGGTCTTATAAGTGCTGATGAGCTGCACATCATATTGTACACTTAGTCTGATTGACACTTGCTTGAACTGGTGCAGGATCTTAGTGGACTACACAAAGCATATATCTGAACCCTATAGAATATGTTTCATCAGATAACTCTGGAATGATGAAAATCTATGGTAAAAATGTTTTTTTCTTATGGGATAATACATCTTATAAATACTAGTATTTCAAAGGAAATTGTTCATTAAGATTGATGGTAATTGTAGGTGGAGTTCTGATAGATATGAAATCAAGTGTTTAATTGTGCCTCAATTCTCAAAAACCATTGACCATCTCATTCCCTACCCTTTACAGCTTGTGGGCTTGAAAGGTTATTTGGTGGTTTATCTTTAACTTTTGGCCATTGCTGCAAAAGCTTCTTTGATTTAGCTGGATGTATGCAGCTTACTGTTTATATTCATGTTGAGCTCATTTCAGTGTGTGAACCCTAGCAGCAGAAAGTTCTTTGTGTGTGTGATGGCTGTTGGATATATGTAACTAGGAGGCGGTTTATTTAGGAACCGTAAATATTTTTGAGATACAAGGAACCATACATTCATATGATGAATGTACACAAATATACATTAATATTAAATGTATATATTCATCATGAAATACTTGGTTTTCCCTGCATACATCAAAACAAACAAACTCAGTATATTCTACTTGAAAGTAGGGTTTAGAAGAAGTAGGATATATACAATTAGAACCATAAGTTGGCAGAATGTTCACATAAGTTAACATATCTAATATATGTTACCAAAAGAAATGTTAATACACGTTAAGACAACTTCATATAATAACGATAAATATGTGTGATAGCTTAACATGAAAATCTTAACAAACATTACCACAAGAAATCAAACTAGTCAAAAGGAAAAACCGTCGTAACAGTTAAAATTTGTTTAAAGATGTATCCAAGTATGTACAAGATTCTAAATTATTTTTAAACTAAAATTAAATTATTTGTTTAATAATAATATTTATAATTGTTTTAATTAAAAACAAAGAAAAGGAAAATAACGGGCCTATGACGGTGGGAAAAAGGGGTTAAGGGAAATGGAGATTAAAATGAAGCCCAATTAACTATCGGCCCGGCCCAGTTTACATAAACAGATAATGAATAGCAGCCCAATAATATTTCAAGAAAGGGTTAAATGCATGAAATAACAACATACTTTCATAAATTTTTTTATTCTAACATTATATTTTTGTTTTTCTTTAGTACAGTAATATACTTTCAAATTATTTTTTGGGTTGATATCCCCACCCCCTTACGCTCACTTATTCACCCCCTCTCTCTCACATTCAACCCCTCTCACATTCAATCAATTTGTTTAATATTATAATTTTAAATTACACTTCATACCCTTATAATTATTTAATTAATTTACTTTACACCTTTTACTTTTAAATTTTTCATTTTGCATCTTTATTAAATTAACATACATAATCATATATCAACTAAAACATGTTTAAAAAATACCTTTTTATTTTAACAAGTTACACCATTATAATCGTCTCGTTAATACCTTCGAAATGAGTCCAATATTGAATAGTTTTTGAGTTAATTATATTATTATATATTATATACACTGTGAAAAAATATTTTTAATATTTACGATTTATACTTTTATGGCTATTTATTTAATTTATGATCTATCAATTATTTTCACTATTATCACATTAAAATACATAATTTTTTAGTATATCCCTAACTTTTCCATTTTTCATTTTCATTTTACATTCTTATCACATTTACATACATAATTTTATATTAAATAAAATATGTTTACAAAATACGTTTTTATTTATAAAGATATAAA